GAATGGGGAGGAAGGCATGGGCGATGGTGATGTGCTGCGAAGAGCTCGTAGCTCTGATCGTCACGTATCTGGGTCGGCGGGATCTGGCACGGTGCTGCAGCGTCTCCAAGCTGTGGAACCAGTGCTGCCGCTGGCAGCTCGCCCACGGCCGCGGATTAGGGTTTCTCATCGCCCCTACCGAAGGATCCAAGCTATGGATGTGCGATTCCAACACTGGGGAGGAGCAGTGGGTGCCTCTAGGTCTCTCTGATTCGGCTGTGCTGGGAGCTTGCCAAGGATTGGTGCTTATAGAATCCCGTGGGGTGCTGGCGATTGGCGAGCCCAGCGTGAAGCGGTGGAAGCTCTTGTGGAGGCCGCGGATTGATGCAATATCGGCTTGGCTGGGTCGTGTGCAAGGCCAGCTTCTCATCCTCATCATCGACAAATCCGGCGCCGTGCAAAAGTACGATTTCGCCAACGATTCTTGGATAGATGTTTGCCGTCCGTCGAGGAGGATCGCTCTTATGGAGGAATGCGTCTTAATCAGGGGCGGCTGCTACAGGCTCTTCGAAAAGTTGACGCATGGCCATGACTACGTGTTTGATGATATTTACAAGCTGGATCTGAGGCGTGGAGTGTGGGACAAGATGAACATGAGACGTGAATCTGTTCGCAAATTCGAGTGCCTCCGGATAGAGAAAAAGGTGGTAGAATGGCGAGGCAAGGCCCTCATGTATACTCTTAAGGTGTTTGACCAGGAGGAGGAGCTACGAGAGGGCAGGGGATTCGACACTCCAAGACTGTATGAGCTACTGGTTGATAAGGGAAAAGTGGTGGAGCTTCCGACGCGGCTAGACGCAGCCAACGTCCTGAGCCCTGAGTTGCCCGAGGTGGTGTCTGATGACTATGACCTCTTTTGGATAACTAGAGACAGAAATGTGTTCAAGTATTCGGTGGCCGATTTGTCCTTCAACAAGCTGGTTCTGGACTCTGATGCTGCGCCGAATTTATACCTCCCGAGAGCTTTCTTCTATATTCCTGACGGTGGGGAGGCCTTGTCTCGCAACATTTTGTCACATTTGCCTGATGTACCACATGATTATTAGAGCATTGTGTCGTAGTGTCACCCGGAGGTGCAGTTCATTTTCTCATTCGTGGAAATACACTTCCCAAGGTGACGGTTCTTTACTTGGACTTCATCAAGTCGAGTGTGATTTACTGTGATGGGGTTGTGGGCTGCTGCCACCACGGACGCCAAGTGACGAATGGCTCCGGGTGCTAGACGTCGAATTTCTTTTGCAGATGAGAGACCTGCATCCATCCATGGTTACCGAGTAGCATGGCAGCGCAGGTGCTGAATCCTCAGAGGCTGCATCAAGCCTTTGAGCAAAAGCTACAAGTTCACTCCTGGCAGGTAAGTGGTGAAGTTGGTGTAAACTTGTCGTTCTTGTTCTGATTCAATTGTTTCAAGATGGTTTTTCTTCGATACAGATGGTCAAGGTTAGTCAATCGTGGTAAACGGCGGCCATGAGCGCGTAGGCCGAGGAACACGTTCTCTTTCTCTTGGACATTGAGGAGCTCCTCAAAGGCGGCCCTCGCTACACCCACGTGCCCATATCTCCTGCTCGCGTCGATCACTCTCTGCGTCGCATTGGCGGCTAAATCCCGCGACGAGAGCGCTCCAGGAGATGAGACCTCCCGACGACGAGGAAGAGGCGAAGAATCTCTCGGCCTCGTCCATGCTGCCGCATCGCCCATACGCATCCACCAGGCAGCTCGCCACGACCGGGTCGATGAGATCTCGCCCCAATTCATGGCTCGCGCGCGTGGAGCTTGCGAATTCTTTCCAGATTCATCGCAGTGGCATAGTCCATGACGATCGAGCGAGATGATCGCATCGCCGCGAGCAGTGCCAGGGACTCCTAGGGCTGGCCATTCTCGAGGTAGCCGAGGATCAAAACGTTCCAAGGCGCCGGGTCTTCGTCCCGGAGCATGGCGAAGATCCTGTGCGCTCCCACACTTGGAGTACATATTGAGGCCACGAATCGATCCTGCTTCACGCTCAGACCGCGAGCTCTCGGGCACAAACACCTCCATCGCTATCGATGGATTCGGGGATTCGGGATGATTGCTCGCTGGCAGCCATGCTCGTGCACGCATTGGCGGCCGCGACGATCGTCCTCGCATCGCCAAAAATCTCTCTTTTCGATCTATCCAGCATCATCATCTGCGAGAAGAGATCCAGCGCCATCGCTGCCTGGCCGAGCTCCCCCAACTGGATTGGCGATGATCAAGCTTGTCAAACACCGCTCGAGCTAGATCCACGCTTCCACACTTTGCGTAGAGATCCACCAGCGTGCTCGCGACGAACACGTCCAGATCAAACCTCTCTTTGCTGCCTCGCTGTGGAGAAATATACCTCGCACCATCTTGATCGCCGCCAACTTTCCAGAAAAATTTCTTCTCCCGTTCTTCCCTCGCGGCCAGCCCAGAAAACGACTTGAGCGCCGCCACAAAACTCCTGGCACTGGATCGATTGGTGTTGCTCGCCATGAATTCTTGGAAGAGTCCTAATCCCGAGATCATGGAAGTCCACGAGACAACGTCGTGAGTTTCCATTCGCTCGAAGATCATTCGAGCGGCAGGATTTCCCATACGCGTCGGGCGACGAGCACGTCTGTGTGCCATCCGGCTTGCTCGCACCAAGAGTGGACCAGCCGAGGCTCTTGATCTTGACGAACTTGGAGCTCCCGCGATCAAGAAAATCGGTTTTCTCGATCGCTGCTAGCTTGCTGCAAGCTTTGAGAGCCTGCCAGAAACGTCGCGCTGTCTGGAGAGATCGTGGAGAGGTTTGCGATTCGTGCGAAAAGTTCCAGTGCCTGGAAAGCTTCTCCATTGTCAGCGTAGCCGAGGATGAGAGAGTTCCATGAAACAACGGTTGGAGCTGTGTCGAAGACACGGCGAGCTTCGGCCATCCTGCCACATTTTGCGTACACCGATCATGGCGTTTGCCACTCTCGGTGGCACGAGCGTGAATCTCTTTGCCTCTTTTCAAGCGGACTTCAGATCGAAGATCACAGATGAGTCCTGAGGATCTGATGAAAGAATGTGTATTCCAGGGAGGAGTGATGCTGCTTCTCCTGAAGTTTTCATGACGAGATGGCTTGTGATCTGCCAAGCAAGAAGTAGAGCTTATTACCATCTTATAGAGCAGTGAAAACGGAAGCTCAAGAGAAGAGAAATATTTTACCTCGAAAGTCCATGGTAGGCGCTAACACATTTATCTTTCTAATATTAGATCTTTGGATTTCCAAAGGTAAGCAAGCCGTTTAAATGGCTTTACAATTGCTCAAACACCTCGCCTACGACGCCCCACAGCGCACGCGCCATAGCCATGGTCTACGTGAAAGACAAATATCTAGCGGTACGGAAATGCACTCCATTGTCCAAATCGTGGAAGTCATTGCTCACGAGCTGGTTTCGGACCTCGCTCCTGCCAAGGATTGGTGCTTATAGAATCCCGTGGGGTGCTGGCGATTGGCGAGCCCAGCGTGAAGCGGTGGAAGCTCTTGCGGAGGCCGCGGATTGATGCAATATCGGCTTGGCTGGGTCGTGTGCAAGGCCAGCTTCTCATCCTCATCATCGACAAATCCGGCACCGTGCAAAAGTACGATTTCGCCATGGATAGATGTTTGCCGCCCGTCGAAGAGGATCGCTCTTATGGAGGAATGCGTCTTAATCAGGGGCGCCTGCTACAGGCTCTTTCGAAGGCATCGCACGTTTGATGGCATTTACAAGTTGGATCCGAGGTGTGGAGTGTGGGACAAGATGAACATGAGCCGTAAATCTACCCACAAATTCGAGTACTTCGTGGTAAGACAAAAGGTGGTGGAATGGCGAGGCAAGGCCCTCATGTATACTCATAAGGTGGTGTCTGATGACTATGACCTCTTTTGGATAACTCGAAAGAGAGACGTGGTCTTTCGACAAGCTGGCACAGGGCTCTGATACTGCGCCGAATTTGTTACTCGCGGCGGGAGCTTACTACTATATTCCTGACGGTGGGGAAGCTCTGTCTCGCAACATTTTGTCACATTTGCCCAATTTACCACATGATTATTAGAGCTTTGCACGAGTGTTCGTAGTTTCCTCTCTAAAGCTCGAGCTGAGATGTGTCCTCTTGTGCTTTGTAACGATAGAAAAAGTGAAAAACAAAGAACCAAGACTGGTTCCTTATATAAAAATACAAAAGGTTGATTCTTCAGAATGATGAGGCAAGCAGCTTCCTCTTGTAGCGAACCATCACCTTGCCTTTTGGTCCGACCACCATTCAATCAATCTCCGGGAACGGAGAAACCAGCTCCATCTCAAAGTTTCGGAGAAGAATGCTCCACACCGCCTTTACCTGCATGTATCCAAAGGTTTCTCCGAGGCAGCCATGGCGACCGCCACCGAAGGAGGTGTAGGAGAATGGGACAGCCTTGTCCTCCTCCCGGCCGGGAGCGAAGCGCTCAGGCTAAAGCATCCGCCTGACCCCTGCAGAGCATTTGAGTTAGTTACCTCACAGTCAAGATGCACAATGTGTACCATTCTGAATCGTACATATTTGTCTCATCAACGTGCCGAAACACTGCCAAAACGCGATGACAGTAAGTCAAGGAATGGAGTTCTAATATATATACCTTCTCCGACGTCCAGCAACTGTGACACTTGCTCTGCACAAGAAACTTTCTCCTCCCTCAACCCAGCGCTATTCCGCTCTGCAGCATGCTCGTTAAACAGTATTTTGGCCAGGAAAAGTCTTACCTCAATGTTTTCATGAACTGGAAGTTTCCTGTTCTCCGGAGCCATCCGGAGCCTTTGAAAAAGAAACTATACCAGGCTATAAATAAATGGCCGCGTACCTTCCCTTCCCAACTTTATCTAGAAACACCTATGAAATGCTGAAACTAACTAGAAAGCAAACCTGGGAGCAAATGCCTCCAACCCCAGGAGTCTGATGCAGGTCGGGAAAAATCCACTGGAATAGCGAAATCGAATATTTTAATTACTAGTTTGATAAAGTCTTATTCTAGCTTCCTCAACGCTGTTTCCTGCACCTGAATTGGGTCAGCAAGGCCCAAGCGAGTCTAAAAGGGGAACATACCGCGGCCGCTTCGTTACTGCCTGTTACTAGGCCCCGCTCCTTCGTCGCCAGCTGTGGCGTTCAACTAAGATAGGGCGACAAAAAACGGAAAAAACGAAACATACCAGGACTTCCCGAGTCCGTCCCTGTCGCGAGCCCACTTGTGGCCACTTCTCCGACGGTCCACGCTAAAATCATAATCAGATAACCGACCATACGAGCCAGACCTCAATATAAAACATTTACCAGGATGTAAGTTTGATCCGAATTGATTAAAGCCTTCTGGAAGCTCAAAATCCAGCTGCCGCTTCAGCTCTTGCAGCAACTGCTGCTGCTGCTGCTGGAGCTGCTGCTTTTCTTCCTCGATGATTTGCAGTAACTCTTCGGCATAATCGAATGTGCCATACTCATCGAGTCCAGGCCCTGGAATCCCCCATGGATCTAGAAAAACCAAATATACAGGCAGAAACGGTTTTTAATTCAAAGTAGTTTCTTACCTTTCTTGAGGACTTGCTCCTCGTGCTTGCCAAAGAGTGCATCAAAGTTTCTAATAAAGCACTCCATATGCAAGTAGTGCATGTTTCGCAGTCGATCCAGTGTGCTTGTGTACACATCATAGTCGCCCGGGTTGTAAACGTGCACGACAGTGAGCTTGTTGCCATTGACATACGCTAAGGCACGTACATACTTGTCTCTTCCGACTGGTTGATGAAAACACACAAGCCTGTTGAGGACGTATTTGTAGTATCCTAAACAAAAATAACCAGACATATTATTTACCAACTACGTGAAAATGCTTACCGTCCCTATGATGCTCCGGTGTTTTTTTCGCAAAATTGACCCATTTGGGGTCAGCGATCCAGTTCTGCTGCTCAATCACTTTCTACGGAAAACGGAAAACAAACGTAAGACAAAAACATAAGACAGAAACAAGCTTAGTTTTACCTGCATTGCCCTTCGTAATCCACTCCACAGAAGCACTCCTGGTGCAGCGTCAACTCTGTATCTCCGTCCATCGTGAATGTACATCCTCGCCTCGAAAATCTCAAGAGCTTGCCGGGCTCCTGTCATGACGCCGCCCGCAGGACCAGTCACCTTGTGGATCCCGCCATCTTCTCCAACAAAAGTCGGGAAGCCCCCATAGAGCTTAGAATTGGCTCTCTTGGAAGCCCTCCGGAAGAGGTTGGGGATGTACAAGTACCCCTCGGGATCAACAGATTTCCAGGTCTTCTCGCACTCCTTATAGATTTCTTTAGAAACCGATGTCTCGACGGCATCTTCACAGATCACCTCCTTACTCCTAAAAAACAGAGATTGAACCATGCGACTCTAAACAAGAAAAAGAAGAGCACTTACCGGAGGAAAAGTGCCGCAGAGGATACGAAACAAGCTCCAAAAACTTTCACAGCAAACCTCATGGCGACGGACAAGCAGGCAGCTCCCTCAATCGGCAATCGGCGGCCCCCTCAATCACCTAAAACAAGACAGCAATAAGAGTAAATAATTTGGATTAAAGACTAAGCTAAGAGACTTACATTATCTGTGCCTTGCCGAATCGTCCCCACCGCATTTCTCCTGTAAATCCCAAGTCAGCGATTGGATAAACGAACAACACTCACAAAGGTGTGCACCGCTGTCTTGTCCTCCTCTGGTGAGGAGCGCACGCTGTCGGCGCGAGCAAGCCTGCTGGCAAATACTGGAGACTTCGCAACAATGTGGCCTGCGGGAATGTTATACTTTAGACGCCGTCTCGAGTGGTGACCGAGGAATATTTGTGGCGGTAGAGCAGACAATCTGGTTGCTGCACGTCGAAGTCGACCACTTTGGCCATCACGGTTGAAAAAGTGTTTCTGTGCGATGGCAGCGTCCACTAGTCGATAGCTCAGCCAAATATACATATCAAGAGCCTGGAGCTCACAATACGCGAGTTATAGCATGATGCAAAGCCGGACCAGCAAACCTTGTGTAGTTCCGCAGGTGTGAGAAGCTTCTTCAGTGGGATATTCCTATTGACCGCGTAGTTCCTAGCAAACTATGGAAAAGATAAAACAATGCTAGAAAACAAACATACGATATACCTCGAGTAAAGCTCCCATGATTATACGGTTATTTAGGCACGGGGCTGCACAAGCCGAACCATATAATCAAGTCGAAGCCAGCAAAAACGACGAGTGTTACCATTTACAGAAAAGGAAGAATGTCCCTCGCTATCGCCAAAAGATATGTAGAGTCACACAGAAAGAACATTGAAGACACAATAACGATAGCATTGAACTTTTCCTGCAAAGGTGTATAAGTTAGAAAGCGAATCAGGCACAAAACATGAGCACACCAGTATAGCCGTGGGAAGTTCGGATAAAAGTACAGTACAGGCCTATTTGATCGAAAGATGGAAAAACTCCTGCAGCCTGAAAGAAGAGATAAAGAACAAAGGAAAATGTTTACGAAACAATCCAGTGACTGATCAAATGATACCTCGAGTGTGTCCTGAGTGCGTTCCAGCAGGTTCTGAATATCCACACAAGTTTATCTCTTTTGGCAGCACCACCAACAAAAGCCCGAGTGAAAGCGTATCCTCTTTTGGAGCTTCCGATCATCTGATCCAATCCACGAAACAAGGGAACATGATAAATAAACGAGAAAACCCTTGTTCTTGCCTGGATCTCGTCAATGACGGCACACTCGTGATGTCCGCCATCTCGACAGTCATCGCTGTGCTCCCTCGATCTCGTTGCGCTCCTGTCCAGTGAGAAGACTGCATGGTACATTGAGAAAACCTGATGAACTCTTTCGGTTGCCAATCAGCTCCTGCTCTTCTTTGAGAGCTGTTATTTGAGATCGGCGTCTCCATCGTCACACTATGGAGAAAAATCTGGAAGCGACTTAAGAAGCAAGTAGAACCAAATAGTCAGAAGTAAAAAGGAGATTTTGATTTGCACACCTGAGTTGTGGCCTACGAACGTCTTCAATTTGGTCATCTTGGCCGCTCGGGACTGCTGCCCAGGCGCTGCAAGCAAGTAAAGTAGCTCCAAGTGAATAAGAAAAGAATAACATCGAAGAAAGAAAAACGAGATTTTGATTTGAAGAAGAAAAACATCTTCCAACATGTGATCCACTGCAATCAGGAGCGCCTACATACCTCTGGACCGATCAAAGAATGCCGCTACCCAGGCGCTGCCAGCAGGCAAAGGCTAACTTGAGGTGAGCATCTCCAAGGGAACGAAATCAACATAGAGCTACCTTGGGCGGGTTGAATCGAATCAGAAACACGGATAGAAAAGAGTGATTTTTGGACGGACTTCAGAGCTAACCTCAGGCAGTCGGGCGTGAGCGGCCTCTTCTTGAGCGGCTAACATGAGATCCTCAAACGGCTTAAGAAGATACCTCGGGAGATCTCGCCGAGGCGCCGATGAGGAAGCTCATCTGCCTCCTCTCCACCGCAGTGCCGCCATGGCCAGATCTGGCCCTAAATCGTACAATTATGGCACCGTCCCTGCACCACATTGACCGCATGGCCGTCCATGTCACGAATCGAATCCACCTACTGGATATTCCTGAAAAAGCATTGTTTGTTAATAGGCACGTGGCTTTGTGTGCTAAACCCGTTGATCAGTGACCGAGGGTAATTATGTTTGTATTTTTTATATGGGATGGATGGATGGATGTAGAGGACTCGACTTATAAAAGGACGATCCTGCTCCAGCAAATCTCGTTTGCAAACGATCGCTAGGGTGGGATACTTAGGGCTCTTGGCAAGAATGTGGGCAGCGGGGCTATGGCGGAGTCGTGGTTTGCAGTCTAACTTTTCTCTCTGCCTCATGAATGATTTGCTTGCTTGCTCAGCTGGATTGCGGCGCGCATTCAGCACCACAGCCCGGAAGATCCTTCTCGAGCTCACCGATATGACGTAAGTAGTTCTTGCGAGGAAAGGAATGATAACAATGTATGTGTTTGTGTGTTTCCAGTGTTCCTCACACTTGGTATCCTTACGCGCGGACGATGAAGAGGCGGATCATTCTCTACATTGGCCCGACCAACAGCGGCAAAACATTCACTGCCTTGCAAAGTCTCCAGCGAGCTTCTTCAGGTTTGCTTCTTCTTCCAAAGGCAAAAACATTTATACACTCGAAGAGGAAGAAAGAACTGTTTTCTTTCTTGCGCTACCTAATGCTTGGCTTCTCTCATCCAGGAACTTACTGCGGTCCCTTGCGTCTCCTCGCCTGGAAGTGGCAGAGAAGCTCAACTCTCTCAATGTACCATGCAGTCTTCTCACTGGACAGGAGCGCAACGAAGTCGAGGGAGCACAGCACAAAGCGATGACTGTCGAGATGGCGGACATCACTCGCGAGTACGAGTGTGCCGTCATTGACGAGATCCAGGCAAGAACAAAAATATTTCTCGTTTGTTTCTCATGTTTGTGTCTCAGATGATAGGATGCTCCAAAAGAGGATACGCTTTCACTCGCGCTTGGTTTGGTCTTGCTGCCAAAGAGATACACTTGTGTGGAGATCCGTGTGTAGTGGCTCTTATTCAGAACCTGCTGGAACGCACTTAGGATACACATGAGGTATTACTAGATCATTCACTGGATGATTTCCTGATCTTTTTTCCCAGGTCAGGTGTTACCTCCGCTTGTACCTCTTAATGAACCTCTACGTGATATTAGACGTATTCGGGGCGGAGATTGCATTGTAAGCTTCTCGCGTGATGAGATACACACCTACAAGGTAATATAGGTGGCGATTGGTTTGTAAGAAGATAAACGTTTTGTCGTTCATTTCAGCGAGACATTTGAGGCATTGCATCCGGCAATCAACTGCTCGGTCGTGTATGGATCTCTTCCTCCAGAGACTCGCACCAAACAGGTAACGCTATCAGGCATTTATACGAGTTCTTCCTTTCCTTTTTTTTTTATTTCGCTCTGTGATTGAAAAACGGGTCTTTATTTCTCGGCTTTCAGCAAGGCCGACGAGGACTTTAGCATACTTGTCGCCAGCGACGCGATCGGGATGGGTCTAAATCTTAATATCCAGCATCATCTTCACGAAGCTGGACAAGTTCGATGGCATCGCTCGCTGCTACCTCAGTGTCATGCAAGTGAAGCAAATTGCAGGTATGGATGGTCTCACATTTTAAACGACTTCACTCCTATCACTTGTGTGACAGGCCGAGCTGGAAGATATCAAATAGGCCTGTGCTGTAGCTTTTATCCGAACTTCCCGTTTTCGGCTATACTGGTGTGCTCGTGTTTTGCGCTTGATTCGCTTTCTAACTTGTACACCTTTGCAGGAAAAGTTCATTGCTACCGTTACTGTGTCTTCAATGTTCTTTCTGTGTGACTCTACAAATCTTTTGGCGATAGCGAGGATGCTTGACGACATTCCACTGCCCATGGATTCCCGTTTCCTTTTCTGTACATGGTAACACTCGTCGTTTTTGCTGGCTTCAACTCAATGCGCTTGTGCAGCCCCGTGGGTAAAGATAACGGTATAATCATGGTAGCTTTACTCGAGGTATGGTTGTTCCACAATATCGTATGTTTGCTTTCTAGCATTGTTTTATCTTTTCCATAGTTTGCTAGGAACTATGCGGTCAATAGGAGTGTCCCACTGAAGAGGCTTCTAACACCTGCAACAATGTGAGTCCCAAGCACACAAAAGGATCTAGCGGAACTGGAGTCCGTACACAAGGTTCGCTTGTCTGGCTTTGCAACCTGTTATAACTCGCTCCAGGTTCTTGATATGTATATTTGGCTGAGCTATCGACTGGAGGACGCGTTCGTCGATCGTGATCGCACAGAAACACCTGTGCAGCGCGTAAGATCTCTTTGTGTCAGCTTGCATTCCAACTGATCTTGTCCACTCCAGATTGATCGAGCAGGCACTGAGCTGTCGAGCCGGAAGGCTGCCAAGCGCGAACTGATCCAGAATCTCATCGAGGAAGGGCGTTTGCCAGAGGATGAAACCCCCGGAGCTCAGCGCGCGAGTATGTGCAACCTCAACATAGGACAAGTTGATAACTTTTGTTTAACGGTGGAAAACATTTTAAAAACCATCGCCACATTTTTAGGTTTGTGGAATGGGGAGGAAGGCATGGGCGATGGTGATGTGCTGCGAAGAGCTGGTAGCTCTGATCGTCACGTATCTGGGTCGGCGGGATCTGGCACGGTGCTGTAGCGTCTCCAAGCTGTGGAACCAGTGCTGCCGCTGGCAGCTCGCCCACGGCCGCGGATTAGGGTTTCTCATCGCCCCTACCGAAGGATCCAAGCTATGGATGTGCGATTCCAACACTGGGGAGGAGCAGTGGGTGCCTCTAGGTCTCTCTGATTCGGCTGTGCTGGGAGCTTGCGAAGGATTGGTGCTTATAGAATCGGGTGGGGTGCTGGCGATTGGCGAGCCCAGCGTGAAGCGGTGGAAGCTCTTGTGGAGGCCGCGGATTGATGCAATATCGGCTTGGCTGGGTCGTGTGCAAGGCCAGCTTCTCATCCTCATCATCGACAAGTCCGGCGCCGTGCAAAAGTACGATTTCGCCAACGATTCTTGGATAGATGTTTGCCGCCCGTCGAGGAGGATCGCTCTTATGGAGGAATGCGTCTTAATCAGGGGCGGCTGCTACAGGCTCTTCGAAAAGTTGACGCATGGCCATGACTACGTGTTTGATGATATTTACAAGCTGGATCTGAGGCGTGGAGTGTGGGACAAGATGAACATGAGACGTGAATCTGTTCGCAAATTCGAGTGCCTCCGGATAGAGAAAAAGGTGGTAGAATGGCGAGGCAAGGCCCTCATGTATACTCTTAAGGTGTTTGACCAGGAGGAGGAGCTACGAGAGGGCAGGGGATTCGACACTCCAAGACTGTATGAGCTACTGGTTGATAAGGGAAAGGTGGTGGAGCTCCCGACGCGGCTGGACGCAGCCATCCTGAACCCTTACAAGTACGAGGTGGTGTCTGATGACTATGACCTCTTTTGGATAACTGGAGACAGAAATGTGTTCAAGTATTCGGTGGCCGATTTGTCCTTCAACAAGCTGGTTCTGGACTCTGATGCTGCGCCGAATTTATACCTCCCGAGAGCTTTCTTCTATATTCCTGACGGTGGGGAGGCCTTGTCTCGCAACATCTTGTCACATTTGCCTGATGTACCACATGATTATTAGAGCATTGTGTCGTAGTGTCACCCGGAGGTGCATTCATTTTCTCATTCGTGGAAATACACTTCCCAAGGTGACGGTTCTTTACTTGGACTTCATCAAGTCGAGTGTGATTTACTGTGATGGGGTTGTGGGTTCTGGGAACTGGGACGCCAAGTGACGAATGGCTCCGGGTGCTAGACGTGGAATTTCTTTTGCAGATGAGAGACCTGCATCCATGGTTACCAAGTCCAACAGATTTGTAGCGGCCAACAATTTATGTGATTTATTTGTGAGCACACAACATGTCAGCGCAAGTCCAGGTCAGCAAAAACGAGAATATTTTACGGTAGAGCTGCCGCCAGGAGATCATCGCGCAGAGAGATTGGTGTTTCGAGAGATTTGCGAATCCAACGTTTTCTCGTGGAACATCTTGGCCGGAGCATATGCCCAGAGCGGGCATAAAGAAAGTTTTCGACGAGATATACTGAGGAAATGTCACATGGTGTCGAGCATGGTTTTTCTTCGATAGGAAGCAATCTGTTTGTCCAGATGGTCAAGGTTAGTCAATCGTGGTAAACGGCGGCCATGAGCGCGTAAGCCGAGGAGCACGTTCTTTCTCTTGGACATTGAGGAGCTCCTCACGTCCAAGAGAAAGAACGTGCTCCTCGGCTTACGACCCTCGCTACACCCACGTGCCCAGGTCTCCTGCTCGCGTCGATCACACTGCCCTTTCTGCGTCGCATCGGCTAAGTCCCACGACGAGAGCGCTCCAGGAGATGAGACCTCCCGACGACGAGGAAGAGGCGAAGAATCTCTCGGCCTCGTCCATGCTGCCGCATCGCCCATACGCATCCACCAGGCAGCTCGCCACGACCGGGTCGATGAGATCTCGCCCCAATTCATGGCTCGCGCGGTCGATCTCGGCGTGGAGCTTGCGAATTCCTTCCAGATTCATCGCAGTGGGACGATCGAGCGAGATGACCGCATCGCCGCGAGCAGTGCCAGGGACTCCTGGGGCTGGCCATAGCCGAGGATCAAAACGTTCCAAGGCGCCGGGTCTTCGTCCCGGCGAAGATCCTATGCGCCTCGATCGTGCTCCACACTTGGAGTACATATTGAGGCCACGAATCGATCCAGCTTCACGCTCAGACCGCGAGCTGTCGCGTGGATCGTCTCCACTTTGATCACACAAACACCTCCATCGCTATCGATGGATTCGGGGATTCGGGATGATTGCTCGCTGGCAGCCATGCTCGTGCACGCATTGGCGGCCGCGACGATCGTCCCAAAAATCTCTCTTTTCGATCTATCCAGCATCGTCATCTGCGAGAAGACATCCAGCGCCATCGCTGCCTGGCAACTGGATTGGCGATGATCAAACTTGTCAAGCACCGCTCGAGCTAGATCCACGCTTCCACACTTTGCGTAGAGATCCACCAGCGTGCTCGCGACGAACACGTCCAGATCAAAACCTCTCTTTGCTGCCTCGCTGTGGAGAAATATAGCTCGCACCATCTTCATCGCCGCCAACTTTCCAGAAAATTTCGCCGTTCTTCCCTCGCGGCCAGCCCAGAACACGACTTGAGCGCCCACAAAACTCCTGGCACTGGATCGATTGGTGCTGCTCGCCATGAATTCTTGGAACAGTTCTAATCCCGAGATCATGGAAGTCCACGAGACAACGTCGAGGTTTCCATTCCTCGAAGATCATCCGAGCGGCAGGATTTCCCATACGCGTCGACGTCGACCAAAGCGCTGGCGACGAGCACGTCTGTGTGCCATCCGGCTTGCTCGCACCAAGCTCTTGATTTGGAGCTCACGCGATCAAGAAAATCGGTTTTCTCGATCGCTGCTAGCTTGCTGCAAGCTTTGAGAGCCGCCAGAAACGTCGCGCCGTCTGATCTGCGAGTTGGAGCAATTGTAAAGCCATTTAAATGGCTTGCGTACCTTCGAAAATCCATGGCGCCCCACAGCACACGCGCCATAGCCATGGTCTTATCTAACGGTACGGAGTGCCAGAGAATGTCTCTCCGTCTTCGACAAACATACTACACTCCATTGTCCAAATCGTGGAAGACATTGAACACTCTGCACAAGCTCTTAGACTACTGTGATCGCAGCATTTCCCGGAATAGGCATCCCTCAATCTTGACAACAATGCTCAACAATGCTGCACGAAGAAGCCACGGAACCTTCGTCCTTCCTTAAACTCCGACCTTTCCTGACCTGTGTCCTTTTAAACCGCTCAAGCGTGAACTGATCCAGAATCTCAGCAACTCGAAACATTTTGGGTTTAAACGGAATGGCGAGGAAGGCATGGGCGATGGTGGTGTGCTGCGAAGAGCTGGTAGCTCTGATCGTCACAAATCTGGGTCGGCGGGATCTGGGACGCTACTGCAGCGTCTCCAAGTTATGGAACCAATGCTGCCGCTGGCAGCTCGCCCACGGTCGCGGATTAGGGTTTCTCATCGCCCCTGCCGAAGGATCTAAGCTATGGATGTGCGATTCCAACTCTGGGGAGGAGCAGTGGGTGCCACTAGGTATCTCTGATTCAGCTGTGCTGGGAACTTGCGAGGGATTGGTGCTTATAGAATCGGGTGGGGTGCTGGCGATTGGCGAGCCCAGCGTGAAGCGGTGGAAGCTCTTGTGGAGGCCGCGGATTGATGCAATATCGGCTTGGCTGGGTCGTGTGCAAGGCCAGCTTCTCATCCTCATCATCGACAAGTCCGGCGCCGTGCAAAAGTACGATTTCGCCAGCGATTCTTGGATAGATGTTTGCCGCCCGTCGAGGAGGATCGCTCTAATGGAGGAATGCGTCTTAATCAGGGGCGGCTGCTACAGGCTCTTTCGAAAGCATCGCACGTTTGATGGCATTTACAAGTTGGATCTGAGGCGTGGAGTGTGGGACAAGATGCACCTGAGCCGTGAATCTGCCCGCAAATTCGAGTTCGGGACAGAAAAAAAGGTGGTGGAATGGCGAGGCAAGACCCTCATGTACAGCCTTAAGGTGTTTGACCAGGAGGAAGAGCTACGAGAGTGCAGGGGATTCGATACTCCAAGACTGTATGAGCTACTGGTTGATGAGGGAAAGGTGGTGGAGCTTCCGACGCGGCTGGATGCAGCCAATATCCTGAGCCCTGAGTTGGCCGAGGTGGTGTCTGATGACTATGACCTCTTTTGGATAACTGGAGACAGAGATGTGTTCAAGTATTCGGTGGTGGACTCGTTCTTTAACAAGCTGGTACAGGGCTCTGATCCTGCGCCAATCGATGCGGGAGCTTTCTTCTATATTCCTGACGGTGGGGAGGCCTTGTCTCGCAACATTTTGTCACATTTGCCTGATGTACCACATGATTATTAGAGCTTCGCGCGAGTGGTCGTAATCACAACTCTGAGCTTCTCGATCTGGAGTTGCCAAGAAGGTGAGTGGTTCCTTATATAGAAGTACAGAAGACTGATTCTACATCACTTCCACCATCGCGTTCCAATCAATCTCCGGGAACCAACTCCATTTGCTCCACGACCTGCAGGTTTCTCCGAAGCAGCCATGGCGGGCGCCACCGGAGGTCAAGAAGAATGGGACAGCCTTGTCCTCTTCTCGGCCCGGAGCAAAGGTTTCGAAATCGATCTTTGTAGACGTGAGGCAGCCTGTTTGCAAACGATGGAGACGTCGCAACAATTTGGCCTGCGGGAATGTTATACTCAGATTAGTGATCATGGATCTTTGTGGCAGTAGCGCATCAGCGTGATGAAGGCGGATGCAATTTCAGTGCCTCCTTCATGCAGCGGTGCAACACGTCCATCTCGCTCACGATATCATAGTCAAGCTTTTAGCCATCCTCGGTGGTGGAGCGCCCAGTGGCACAGTACTTGGAATCAATGAAAACCTGGGGCATGTCCGTAAATCGATCGAAGACGCTGTCCAGCTCCTTTCGAGCTCGGTCTCTCCGTCGGTGAGCAAGAGACGGTGAGCAAGACGCTGATCAATCCATGGTCCCAGCTGGAAAGCTTATTGTCAGCGTAGCCGGCCACCGAGAGTGGCAAAGACACAAACAACTATGTCGCGAACTCTCTGATCGGTATGTACGCGAAATGTGACAGGATGGCCGAAGCTCGCCGTGTTTTCGATAACCGTTGTTTCATGGAACTCTCTCATCCTACGAGCGTGAATCTCCAAGTCTTTGAATCGAGCAGCGGACTTGAGATCGAAGATCACCGATGAGACCAGAGGATCTGATGAAAGAATGTGTGTTCCAGGCAGCACTGATGCTGCTTCTCTTGAAGTTTTCATGTGTGATCTGCCAAGAAAGAAGAAGAGCTTACTAACATCCTATAGAGAAAATATCTTACCTCGAAAATCTATGGTAGCCGCTACCACATTTCTTGCAAATCGGAGAGTAGATCTTCTCACGCTCATGTTGTGTTTGAGCAATTTTAAACCTTCGAAAATCCATTGCGCATTCTTCGTAATGGCAGGATGGATTTAGTGCCCTATCGAGCAGGCACTAGTCGGCCTATAATGGCGAGAAAGGCATGGGCGATGGTGGTGTGCTGCGAAGAGCTGGTAGCTCTGATCGTCACAAATTTGGGTCGGCGGGATCTGGCACGGTGCTGCAGCGTCTCCAAGCTATGGAACCGATGCTGCCGCTGGCAGCTCGCCCATGGGCGCGGATTAGGGTTTCTCATCGCCGCGGCCAAAGGATCCAAACTATGGATGTGCGATTCCAACACTGGGGAGGAGCAGTGGGCGCCGCTAGGCATCGCTCATTCGGAGGTGGTGGGAACTTGCGAAGGATTGGTGCTTATAGAATCGGGTGGGGTGCTGGCGATTGGCGAGCCCAGCGTCAAGCGATGGAAGCTCTTGTGGAGGCCGCGGATCGACACAAAATCGGCTTGGCTGGGTCGTGTGCATGGCCAGCTTCTCATCCTCATCATCGATAAGTCCGGCGCCGTGCAAAAGTACGATTGTGCCACAGACTCCTGGATAGATGTTTGCCGCCCGTCGAGGAGGATCGCTCTTATGGAGGAATGCGTCTTAATCAGGGGCGGCTGCTACAGGCTCTTTCGAAAACATCGCACGTTTGATGGCATTTACAAGTTGGATCTGAGGCGTGGAGTGTGGGACAAGATGCACATGAGCCGTAAATCTACCCACAAATTCGAGTACCTCATGGTAAGCCAAAAGGTGGTGGAATGGCGAGGCAAGGCCCTCATGTATACTCTTAAGCTGTTTGACCGGGAGGAGGAGCTCCGAGAGGGCAGGGCATTTGACACTCCAAGACTGTATGAGCTACTGGCTGACGAGGGAAAGGTGGTGGAGCTTCCGACGCGGCTGGACGCAGCCATGCTGAACCCTTACCAGTACGAGCTGGTGTCTGATGACTATGACCTCTTTTGGATAACTCGAAAGAGAGACGTGGTCAAGTATTCGGTGGTGGATTCGTCTTTCGACAAGCTGGCACAGGGCTTTGATACTGCGCCGAATTTGTTACTCGAGGCGGGAGCTTACTACTATATTCCTGACGGTGGGGAAGCTCTGTCTCGCAACATTTTGTCACATTTGCCCGATTTACCACATGATTATTAGAGCTTTGCACGAGTGTTCGTAGTTTCTTCTCTAAAGCTCGAGCTTCTTGAGCATGAAATGTGTCCTCTTTTGTTTTGTAAAGATAGAAAAAGTGAAAAACAAAGAACCAAGACTGGTTCCTTATATAAAAATACAAAAGGTTGATTCTTCAGAATGATCAGGCAAGCAGCTTTCTCTTGTAGCGAACCATCACCTTGCCTTTTGGTCCGACCACCATTGCGTTCCAATCAATCTCCGGGAACGGAGAAACCAGCTCCATCTCAAAGTTTCGGAGAAGAATGCTCCACACCGTCTTTACCTGCATGTATCCAAAGGTTTCTCCGAGGCAGCCATGGCGACCGCCACCGAAGGAGGTGTAGGAGAATGGGACAGCCTTGTCCTCCTCCCGGCCGGGAGCAAAGCGCTCGGGATCGAAGCTGTCGGGATCCTTGAAGACGTGAGGCAGCCTGTTGGCAAACGCTGGAGACGTCGCAACAATGTGGCCCGCGGGAATGTTATACTCGACGCCGTCTCGAGTGGTGACCGAGAAATCTTTGTGGCAGTAGCGCATCAGCATGATGAGAGGCGGATGCAATCTCAGTGCCTCCTTCATGCAGCGGTGCAACACGTCCATCTCGCTCACGATATCATAGTCGAGCTTGTCCCCGACTTTAGCCATCACGTTTCTCTGTTCTTCGACGGCAGAGTCCCAGTAGTTTTTATAGCTGGAAGTGCAAAAGTGAGAAATCGGTCACGCAAGAAAGAGAACTTACGTGAGAAGATAAGCTCCAGTCCATGTCGAGGTGATGGAGCTCGTGTGCTGCCCGGCAAAGAGCGCTGCGATGAGCAAACCGGTGATCTCATCCTCGGTGGTGGAGCGCCCAGTGGCGCGGTACTTGGAATCGATGAAAACCTGGAGCATGTCCGTTTCACTTCGTCCGGAACTCTTCCGGTTGCCGATGATCTTGGCGAAGACGCTGGCCAGTTCCTTCCGAGCTCGGTCTCTCCGTCGGTGAGCGGGGATCGGCAAGTATGGAAACAAGACGCTTATCGGCTGCATTCCATTGTCCAAGTCGTGGAAGAGATTGCTCACGTCCTCAAAGAGCTGGTTTCGGACCTCGCTCCCAAGCAAGCAACGGCTGGCCGTAAGGATGATGAGACGCTCCAGCTCTTCTTTAAGATCAACCTCTCCTTCGTCACCCCACTTGGAGAAGAAAAGCTGCAAGCAAGCAAGCAAAGTGGTTCTAGCTCAGCGAGAAAAAAGAATCTTTCTAGAAGAGAGAAAGAAAAGCGAGATTTTGATTTGCACACCTGAGCTTCTTCCACCATGTAGTCCACGTACGTCTTCAATCGGCTCACCTTGAGCGCCTCGGTGAAGAAGCGAAACTGTTCCATCCGGACAGAGTAATCCACGTCGAAGACCACTCCGGGGCCGAAAGTGGGGACATTGAATTGGTAGACCTCCTTTTGGCTCAGCTCGGACTCCTGGGCCTTGTAGAAATGGGAAGAAACGTCGGGACCGATCAAGAATGTGATCTTGCGCGTGACAATGTTGACGGTGAAGACGCTGCCCAGGCGCTGGTACTCCTGCCGCAGCATCACAATCGGCCCCTTGACGAACTTGAGAAGCCCTCCCACGATTGGGACAGAATCCACCACTGGAGGAAGGCGATTTCGGCTCCTGCTTCCGCCGCTGCTGCTCCTCCACCATGATAACAGCCACAGGCAGCAAGTAGTTCCCACTAGCAGCAGCAGCGCGGCCGCCACGGTCGATCGATCCGCCTCCATGGCCTTTACCTCCATCTCTAGATCTTGCCCTAAATCCGAGATGAGAACGTTAACTCCGGACCGTCCAATTGTCAGTGACGCCAGCTGTTGGATAAACTAAAATATCGCTGGCATCAAGTTTGTAATATAACGATTTCTATGGGTATCTCTTACAGGTAGCAAAACGGTGACAGTGTTCATCCACACACGCAAAAGCGATGTTTCCAGATTATGCTTTTGAAACTTTCCAACTTCCAGTGTCCAATTTGCGGCCGATTCGACTCATATTGACTTGTCAAAGTTGCTGCCTGTATAAGCTGGCCAGCTGGACATAAGCCGACGAAGAAGATGCTCCAGCTGCCGCGAGAGATGCCGTGAGGGAATCGCCGTGGATTCCACAAGATCCCAGCAATGCCCCCCAGCCATCCGCTCTAGCACCAACTGGAATGCTTTCGATCAACTCCCTGGCCTCCGGCACTCCTCCCGATCGCCCTAGAACATCCAGCATACTCACGAAGAGCTCTGGGCTCGCGGTGATGCCATAGTCGCGATCGATAGATGCGAAGCAGCTGCGCGCCTGATCGATCATCCCTGCGTGGCTGCACGCCAGGAAATTGATGCCCAGAGCGACGAGATCGGGCTGGAATCCCTCTTGCCCCATTCTCTGGAACAAGTTCACGGCTTCTCCGTGCTGACCACCAGAGGCAAGAGCAGCCATCATGGCCGTCCACGTGTACGTATTCCAGTTCTCCCGGGCTGCGATCGTGCGGCCGGCGAAGACGCTCCAGGCGTCGGCCACGTGTCCACATCTGCCGTACAGTGTGATGAGCGCCGTGGCCAGTTTGACGGGCGAGTGGACCGCCACGGAAATGGCCACTGCGTGCTCGTGAATGGTACGGCCTTCGTCCAGGGCTAGCAGGCGAGCACAGGCGTCGAGAGCTATGAGAAGAGAGATGGAATTGGGCGAGATACCCTCCAAATCCATTTGCTTGAAAAGATCAAGGGCTCTTCTTTCTTTGCGATTGATCAAAAACGCTGCCATCAGCGCGTTCCAAGACACCACATTGTCGATGCCGCGGTCGTGGTCGCCATCAAAGAACAAGAGCTCTGCAGTTTCTAGGCTGCCACATTCGCCACATTTGGCAATCAGCGCGTTCCGGAGCTTGAATCCCCTCTTCTGGAGGCCTTGGTTATCATCCAGTGCAGTGTGGCGGAGCTGATCGAAGTTAGAGCAAGCTTCTGTAACACTGATCAGCGTGATCTCGTCCGGTGGAATCCCTGCGAGATCCATGCTAGCAAACAGCCTCACCGCCTCGGATTTGAGCTGTGATTGGCGGCTAAACGCCGAGATGATGGAATTCCAGGTCCCAATTGTGGCAATCCCTGTAGCGCAGCAGCGATCAAAAATCCTCCTCGCCTCGGACAAGCACCCACATTTGCTGTACATGGCGATGAGCGCATTGTCAATGTGGCCGTCTCTTCGATTGACGGTGGCGTTGTCAATCAGCCTGTGAATCGCTCGCCCTTTCGCTAAATCCCCTTCATCTCCACAAGCGCCAAGAACACTCACGAACGCGATCCCATCAGCCTTGATTCCTTCCAAGCACGCTATTGCAAAAACCAGCAATGCCTCCCTTGGCTCGTTACATTGGCCGTGGGCTGTGATCATGGCCGTCCATGTCACGAGCCCTCGAGAAACGGACGGCATCGACTCGAACACATCCCTGGCGTTTCCCATGGCACCACATCTCGCAAACATGGTGATGGCCGCGTTAGATACCTTGAAAGATTCGCAACCAGATTCTTTGACCAACCTATAGGCTTGGACTCCCTGCGCCAAGCCTGCCAGCTTCCCACAGGCATCCAGCGCGCATATCCACGTCACCTCCGTGGCACCAATGCCTTCCTGCCACATGGCACGGAGCAGAGTGAGGGCCTCCCTGGCATGCCCGTTCTGCGAGTATGCCGCCAACATGGCGTTCCACGTCACCACATTCTTCGCGGGCATCCGGTCAAACATCTCTTTGGTCTCTTGCAAATGCCCATTGCGGGCATATGCCGCGAGCATGATGTTCCACGAGAAGGAATTCCTCTCGTGGATAGCCTCAAACGCTGCATGGGCGTCCTCCACGCATCCACACTCCCCATACATCTGGACGAGAAGATTCCCTAGATACCTGTCGCCGCCATAGCCAGAGGTGTGGAGCTGGGCGTGGATCTCCCTGCCACGTTCGATCTCCCGCCGCCGCCCACATCCCCGCAGCTCGCTCGCAAACCAGTCCTGGACTGCCGCCAGTTCTATTACAGGAAGCTTGATGCTGAGCCACAGCTAACTAGAATGTGTAGATTTGGATTCCATGATTCCAAGTCCTGAGGCTAATCGAATTGCAATGGAATTGCCGATCGATGCGTGTACGGATCAGGCGGTGGGGAGGCTCTTGCACGGAGTTTACCCTCGAAAGCCACGGCAATGCTCAACGCACTGGTGACTATGTACAGCAAGTGTGGCGACCTCGTACGGGCGGAGGGCGATCACGTGTCCATGGTAGATCCTATCCTGTGGAATACGATGATTGGAGCATACGCTCAGTTTGGGCATATGCCCGGTGCTTTGGAAGCTCTTGAGGGAAATTGGAGCTTCTCCGACCACTGTGACTTTCACGAGCTCTCTAGTGGGTTGTAGCTGGAGAGGATTCTTTGAAGAACTGAGTTTTATGAATCAAAACATTTCTCAGATTAAAAAAGGAAAATACTTTAAATTAATACCTTCTTAGAGTTAAGTATTTAATAATTTTTTGATTGTTATTATAATATAGAATTTCTTACAATGCTGCAAAACTAGGTGTTGCATTCTTTGTATTTTCGTCTGGAATATAGTGGAAATTTCAACTTTTGTTCCTATTACTTAAAATATATTTGTTTCTGTTAGGATGTACTTGAATATTTTAGCATATTCTAACAATTATAATGTAACTCCAACATTTATTATTTTGTTAAGAAGCCTAAAGAGGCCTAAATGCATATGTTTAAAACGATCACAAATACTTAACCGAATTAAGTAAGAAACAGTTTAACCACTTGATCATCCTAAGCTGGATGCCACCTGCATCTGTACTCACAAGCACACAGTGATCACACAGTGATCACAAAGTGAAGCTTGCAGTTGGCACAGTTCTCACAGGTTCTATTCTTTCCCCAACAGAACCTGGTAGCCTGCTTCTTTGACGGGATCTTTGGCTCCGTGAGCTTAATTTGGTCGAACCATTTCAGCGATTTCGTCTATATCGCTTAGACTTTTGACGTCCGTCACCTGCAAGCCTTTCAACTTCACTGTATCAGGCATGGCATAGTAGTACAAGGACTCGACCGTGGCAGCTCCCAGTCCTTTTTTCCATTCCGGAAGGACCTCATCCTTCCACACTGTATGAGACCTTTTCTTCTCCTTCGCCTTCCACTGAGCAACTGTAATCTGAAGAGCTACCACCAGGTAATTTCCGTTGGCGAATAGCTTGATGTATACGAGATCCACAGCCTTCTCGTTGAATGCTTGAGGACCCATCAAGACACCCTCCTGCAAGTCCTGGAGCGCTATGTTGCGAAGAGCAGCCACTTCGTGGCCATGAGCATACGTCCTGTACCACTTGAACGAATAAGCGTCATCAAACAGCCTCCCCTGTACCCGAATGACGCTGATCACTAGGCCTTCAATGTGCCAGCCGATGCGAGAGGGGTTCCTTTCTGCAAGCTCACTTCTGCAGTCCAGCTCTACTGCGTTTGTCCACTCTGAAAGTAGCAGCTTCTTGTCCAGCTCCTTTCCCTTTACTACATTGGTCGTGTTGGCGCTGAGAAGCTCCATTCTAGCATTTTGAAGCCCCACAATGCAAATCGATTGCAGGTCATTGGGGCTAAAGGCAGTGGCAAGAGTACTGTCATGAGCACCGAAGCTGGCTTCCTCCTCGCAAACGGCAAAAAGGTGGTGTATATCTCGGCAACCCGTTACATCTCAGAGCCGGCCAGGGTTCTGCTCGAAGCCTTGTTACTTGCATTTGGCCAGTGCAAGACCGTGAGGGAGGAGTTGCAGGATTTGCCCAGTGTAGAAGACCTGGTGGCGTGGTGCGAGGGCACGACAGGTTTGCTTTTTACCACAGCTGCTTCATCGCCTGAAAGATCACCTGGTTCGTGCCTCTGGAGTCAGTGTTCGCATCACAGTCTTGTCCATAGACAGCCCCGAGCCATATGAAAGTGCAAAACTTGACAAGGCTGAAGACTATATGCTAACTGAAGAGTTTGACGGTCCCTACACGGAAGAGGAGCTGAATACATGGATTGCGCAGGCAAATCTACCAGCTTCTGCGCTGCTGGATCTGGATAATCTGACGGGGGGAGCACCGCGCTTGTTACGCTTCTACGGAGAATGTGGTGGCGACAGGCAGCAGTGGCTGAAACGTATTAAAGCCAAGTACGAGGATAAGCTCTGGACGGAATTCGTTGGAAAGTTGGACTCGAAGGAAGATCTGGTCTCTGCTATCAACATGGTGATGGGTGATGGAAAACTACATCCGCGGCTAGCTCCGAAGATCAAGCTTACCTGCTTCTGCAAAGACCTTAATGACAGATTTCGGGTTCGGTCACCGTACTTTCGAACCCAGGCAGAGACCCTGTTAACAGATCCAGCAGCTCCTGGTATCGCTGTTCAATCATCACGCCCCTGTCCTCCCGCCTTCTTTTCATCATTCCTGTCGAGAAGCGGGTCACTGGCACACGAGAGGAAAGAAAGACGGAAGCCCGTACCAGCAAGTGTGAAGGGCTCGAGCAGAGCATTGACTTGCTGAATGCGAGTTGGGAGTGCCGATACGAGACACTCGCAGAGTCGCCCAGCACCCTGAGCTCGGCGATAAGCGTTGGCATCCACGAACCCCGCCGCCGAAAGATTTTGGAAGTCGTCCGCTGTGAACAGCTCGAAATCGACGCCACTCACCAGTGACGCCCTCCGCCGCCATAAGCAACCAACCGGGTTTAACACAAGAATATCCAGGTATATTGTGCCACTTTAGGGTATGACGATGTTTAACTGATGTCTGCCACTTTTAGACTTTAGACGATGTATCTTTGAGCTTTGAGCTATGGAGTTTTTTGCTTGCTTTTAGTGCGTTTGAGGGGAACCAAAGGTGCTGAGCTGTGTGGATTAAAGTTTTCTTTTAATTGTCTTCAAAAAAAATCCCCCACAAGTGCCAAGAACACTCACGAACGCGGTCCTCATTTGCTGTACATGGCGATGAGCGCATTGTCAATGTGGCCGTCTCTTCGATTGAGCACCACATCTCGCAAACATGGTGATGGCCGCGTTAGATACCTTGAAAGATTCGCAACCAGATTCTTTGACCAACCTATAGGCTTGGACTCCCTGCGCCAAGAGCCACACGCATCCAGCGCGCATACCCACGTCACCTCCGTGGCACCAATGCCTTCCTGCCACATGGCACGGAGCAGAGTGAGGACCTCGTTCTGCGAGTATGCCGCCAGCATGGCGTTCCACGTCACCACATTCTTCGCAGGTCAAACATCTCTTTGGTCTCTTGCAAATGCCCATTACGGGTATATGCCGCGAGCATGATGTTCCACGAGAAGGAATTCCTCTCGTAGATAGCCTCAAACGCTGCATGGGCGTCCTCCACGCATCCGCACTCCCCATACATTTGGACAAGAAGATTCCCTAGATACCTGTCGCCGCCATAGCCAGAGGTGTGGAGCTGGGCGTGGATCTCCCTGCCACGTTCGATCTCCCGCCGCCGCCCACATCCCCGCAGCTCGCTCGCAAACCAGTCCTGGACTGCCGCCAGTTCTATTACAGGAAGCTTGATGCTGAGCCACAGCTAACTAGAATGTGTAGATTTGGATTCCATGATTCCAAGTCCTGAGGAATTGCAATGGAATTGTCGATCGATGCGTGTACGGATCAGGCGGTGGGGAGGCTCTTGCACGGAGTTTATCCTCGAAAGCCACGGCAATGCTCAACGCACTGGTGACTATGTACAGCAAGTGTGGCGACCTCGTACGGGCGGAGGGCGATCACGTGTCTATGGTAGATCCTATCTTGTGGAATACGATGATTGGAGCATATGCCCAGTTTGGGCATATGGCCGGTGCTTTGGAAGCTCTTGAGGGAAATTGGAGCTTCTCTGACCACTGTGACTTTCACGAGCTCTCTAGTGGGTTGTAGCTGGAGAGGATTCTTCGAAGAATCGAGGGAATTGTTTCTCGCAATGTAAGACTGTGGATTGGATCCCAATGGCGAGCACTTTGATCTCTTGTGTTGCGCGGGGAAGCTTCAGGAGGCTCGGGATTTTATCGTTAGAACTCCGTGCGTGGTCGGCTCTTGTGACTGCTTGTAGCGTTCATGGGGGCCTTATGTCTGTCTCTCCATTCCTCAGCGGGAATACAAGATGATGTTGCAGAGCAAGAAAGAATAGATCTTTTGCTCAAAACAAAGTAAAGCTTGAAGAGCTATCAAATTGCCATTTTAATGGTACCAAGTCCAAAGACTTCACTGTATACACAACTAGATCTAGCTCGTAAGAAATAGAGAGAACGTTTTCGTGGCAAATTTGCTCATCCAGATGCACGGTAAATGCAAGGATTTTTCCGAATGATGCCGGCAACTATAATGGTTTTTGCAAGCTGCAAGGGGCAATGACAGTGAGGCATGTGCCTTACAGGAGAGCTTATTGCAGGGATATGCGGAGAATTGTCTTCTAGACAAAAGAAAAAAACTACTTTGTGTGTTCAACTTTAGGGTTTTAAGGAATATTTTCATAATATTGAATTTGTGCCAAAGCAAAAGTCTAACAAATGTAACATATTTAGATCAAAAGTTCTAATTTGAACAATCAAGAGTAAGTAGTATAAAAGGATTGTCTTCTAAACTTTAGGGGTCCATATAAGATTGTAAACGGAGTACTTTAGGGGAACTAATGTAATTAAGAAAGGCTATATCAGGTGGTGGGTGATGACATACAAAATGAAATGCTTAGTGATTTAGTGGAGTTAAGGGATAGTTTAAAAAATTTATATTTGTGTTAGGGCTTAAGATTCAAATATGAAAATAATGAGTACCTCATTAGTGGTTGAGAGTGCCATGTGTAAAACATGAAAAAATATTTAGAAAGGAAAATAATTTTTGAGGAAAGTTCTGTTTTAGCCATTATTAGATATTCTAGTCTTGGCAAAAGGCATGGAATATGTTATAAAGATAAACTCATAAAGCTGATAGTGTGGAGATATTAAATATTTCATTAAAATATACATTGAGTGGGTGAAGATGGCCAGTTTATGAAGGAGTTTTGAAGGAAACAAAATTGACCCAGCCTAAGCTAAAAGGCTTGTGTTTTGATATAATGAGTTCTAGAACATCATAGCTTTAACTTTGAGGTTATTAAGCATAATTTTGATATAATTGATTAAAGTGGTGGAAGTTAACTTCCTTAAACTTTTTGTTGGGATACGAAACAAGTTTGAGATATCCCTTGAGGGATAAATTGCTTATGTTATAATATAGTGAGTCATTGTTGAATAAGAAAATGTTCATTTTTCTAAGAAGTC